AACTTGACCAGGATATGAATCTACTGATTCATCTTCTTGAGCAACAAATCTTGCTAGAATTCTTGAGGATTTGATATAGTGAGCCGAGAATGTAGATCTAAAAATTTCTGACCCCAATTTTAATCACCCATATTGAATTATTTTGGAAAATACAGATATTTGATCAATTCTCAATATATCTCCTGGAGTGGTAAATTGATAATCTGTTATTCTATTATTATAAAATTTGACTAAAAGGTCTAAAATATCATTTTGTAAAATGGCATTTTCCGATTTTAGACCAAGAAATATACCAGGAAATGGTTTGTAGCCAAAAGATTTTTCTTGATCAATAATATTTCTTAATTTATAAAATTGAGGAAGATCTTGTATTTTAAATTCATCTGAAATATCTATACTACCACCCGATATTCTTCTTTTTAATATTGTTAAAGAATCGGATAATCTGATATTTTTTTCAGCACTTGATATTACTTCATCCAAAGAATTATTTGTAAGAATAATTCTCAAAAGTTCTGGTTTTATATTCCTATAGCTGGTCTTATATAAGCCTATAAAATACAAATTATATATATCAGTTAGTATTTTTACACAATATAATATATATATAACTAGAAACTGGAAACCAGTTAAAGTCCGGAGCTCATTATTGTCATTTTACATAAACACGTAAACATGCATAATTTTTTTTACACAATGTACAAATATAGATACACAGCATTACAGACAGAAAATGCCGAAACTACTTTTTTAATTTTTTTATTATAGATGCATCAAAATCATAATTTCAGTCATCAAAGTGCATAGAAGTATGAGTCCTCCACTTCACCTAGACAATAATAGCCTGATATTTATCTAGGATTCCATTCATACGTTCAAAAGAAAAACACCAAAATGAATATAATGGTCTGTAATCCATATAATTTTCGTATAAATACAAACTTAAATGGATATTATAAGTAATTTTTTCAGATCCATAATGGTCTTCTATTAATTTTGCAATATTTAATAATTTTTGATGAGCTTCATTAAGTGATTTTTTGTCTAATATTCTACAGACCAACAGATTACATGCTCTAACAAAGTTTGCAAGAATATGTTGATCTGATTCTGTTAATAAATTCCAAGTAATAGCAGTGGCATATATCATTATAAATGATTGCTACTAGTCTGCTGTATATTCAGAAAATCTCTTCTGTAGCAATTTTATAAGGAATTCTCCCGATATCTGATAGAGGTTGTAATTTTTTTGCTCTTTTATCCATAAGTTTCAGATTATCAGCACTTAATTTTCTACCTTTTATCCAAAGTCGTATACCAATCCACTTGTAATTCCCAAAAATAAACAATGCATTGGGTCTACAATTACATGTTTGATTGGATTAAAATAAGGAAGACAGTAGAGTTCTGACCATCTCACCAATTTTTCAGAGAGGTGTTTCTTTCTTTAATTCTCAGTATTGCACAGTTTCTATTTATATGCATCTTTTTTAATTTTCTCAATATCACGTTCTACAAACCAGTCTTCCATATTTGAAAATCCACCAAAATTAGGTTAATGTCTAGCATCAAACTGTGCATATTTTTCACATTAAAAACATACAATTCTTGCCAATATTTGTCTACATAACTTTTTGGCTGCTAGAATATCACATGAGTAGCATATAATAGTGCATTTAATTTTTTTACTTGTAGGAGATTCATTTGTGCAAATTTTTACTTCATTCTACAATTCAAGTAATTAATTAATCAAAGATGCAAGATAATGGTTAATATGATATGATTTAACTTCTTTGGGTCTCAGTAGCAATGCCAGAGTAATTATATTTTGAGGCTTGAATCTGAGTTCAGAGGGCAAATTACAGATAACTGCATATATTGCACCAGTAGAATATATAGAATTTTGGAAGGAACTAAACCAGTTCAGATTAATCATAAGTCCAAGATGTATATCGGTATGTTCTGATGTGAAGAAATCTTTATCTTGATCTTTAAAAATTTTCCATATATTACCATCATAAATATCAGCAAGGTAATTATCATTTATATTTCTATTAACTCATTTTCTGCATGATGCTTCAAATCTGGGTTGACCATATAATAACTTGAGCTGATGTTTAATACTAATTGTTGGATAAGTAAGCAAAAGATGATATAATGTTCCTTCCTTTGTAGATATCTCCTTTGCTAATTGTTGATTACAAGGTTGCCTCATTTTAGACATTGGGTAACTAAGATATTTTACAAAATTATAATTAAGACATATCGGAATTTGTCTAGTCAATTTTGTTGATACTTTATCAGGTTCATATAACTTATTACATTCTACATGTTGCATAATTATTTATATATATATCTAATCCTATTAATTTTTGAGCCATATATAGTGATTTGAGAAAGTTTTTGAATTGGTTTTTATTAAGATTAGTCAATAGATAATGCATAAACTTAATTAATGATTCTGTTGTAATATTAGGTAACTGATATCTTTGTTGGTATTTTTATTTATATAAACGCTAAATATATTTATTTGATTTGGTATTAATATTATAATTTTTCGTATTTTAGAGTGTGG